TGCATTTAGCACCTTGTAAAGCAGGGAACACAGGAGGCAGCAACATCACTAAGTTTAACAGCACTTTAAAACAGACAGAATAATACAGGAAAAGTAAAATAGAGCTACAAATAGAATGAATATTATAGAATATTTTTTGAAATGTGCTTACTCGCTGTCTGGGTGAGAATGATGTTCACCATGTTATGAGCCTTAGGTACAGAGCTGGAGTGCTGACAGGTTATCTTAGCTTATCTTAGCCTAGCAAAAAGGCTGGAAATAGGGAAACAGCAAGCCTGGCACTGTGTAAAGTGAACATATACACCAACCAAAATCTTAAAATACTTATGGGGATTTTGGTGCAGGAACTATTTTTTAGCAAACAACATCAAGGATCAGTTACTGTGTGTAGCTTCCTAAAGTCTTAGAGTGACTTTGCCAGGTAAGTCATCATCTTGCTAGCACTGAGACCTAAACCAAAACCTGTTCTCATAGTATCGGACAACCTGTGCTAAAGCCAGAGGAGCTGCACAGAAGTGCTGGACGTATGTTTAAACAGTTTATTTTATTCTTATGCTTCAAATAGCATAAGCATGGGGGCTCTACTGCAAATAGCAGGCAAATTATTGTTTAACATTTCTGTCTGTGTATGAATTAACCAAACAAGGCAGGTGGTAATCAGTGAGCTTTAGAGGTGTGGGGAGGTATCATTTTTCACTTTTCACCCTGCCAGACTAGCCGTCACCACCTGCTTCCAGCATTTATACTAAACTTAGCAAAACAGCTGCTGACTCCAGCTTCAAATTTAGCATTTGAATATAGGAGCAGTGCCAATCTTATCAACTCGATAAGAAGGGAATTAGCATATTTCCCACAACGCTGAGCAATTCCTATAAGGTCAGAGGATGATGCGTCAAAGGGATGAATCAAAAGTGCAAGGAAGATAAGGGTGAAAGCATTAAACATTAATACATTATGCCGATGCTGAACTTTTACAATACAAGTTTCTAAGGCACAAATATTTTTGAAATAGCTTTAGCTTTGTTTTTATTTGTTTATCTGCTTTTTTTATTACTTACTCCACAATTGTTTTTCATAAGATAATTTAGAAAAGGTATTTTCTTTTTTTGTGTGTGTGTTAAAATCAGTGCTTTACACAACCATAGTAGTAAACATTATGTAACCAATCAAACCTTTATCAGTGTTGGTAAAGAACTTCATCCTGACTTCAGATCCTGTACAACCAGCACAGTGTGGAGGTTCCAGGCAACCTGAAGAGGAAGCTGATCACACAGCTGCAGCCAGATACAGATTATTCCTTCATCCTAATGAGCAGGGGGAACAGTGCCGGTGGCCTCCAGCAGCAGGTTTCCATTCGTACAGCTCCAGACCTGCTGAAGATGAAACCAGCTCGATTCCAACACCATGTAGAGGAGGTTGGGAAAGTGACCATCAGTCTGCCCAGGATCCCCGCTGCAGTTTCCGTCAGGTCTGTGCAGTTTGTTTGTCTGAGGGGAAACCTACTGAAAGAATAAGGGATGATTCATGATTTAAGAGATGGCTCTGACATGTGGTCTCTCCTTTTCACATATCAATTCGAAATTAAAGTTGTGGAAAGTAATTAAAGCTTGCATCACCCATTAATGCAATCATTTCCTGAAAACACCCAAAAATGTAATAACATTTGTACTTAACCTTATCAAAAATATAATGAAATCCAATAATATAATAACTTGATCAATCATGTAATAAAATATCCTGAAAGATCTTGACTGATAATGTAATAACATGGCAACAGTTGTGGTATGTCACATGGCTGATACAGGCACCACAGATATTTAAGATTGTGACTTTCGGTCACACAGCATTAAAATCCTTCTAACGTGAACTACTTGCTCATTATTTCTACTTTGCCGGATATTTCTTCGGTCCAGCACCCACTACACTGGAGACTGGGTTTGTGTTTTACTTTTTTTTTTTATATCTGGGTAAAATGGGTCATTTTACTTTCTGAACCAATGATGTAAAAATTTTGAGTTTTTAGAGAGAGAGAGAGAGAGAGCGAGAGTGAGCGAGCGAGAGAGAGAGAGAGCACAAGAGCGAGAGAGAGAGAGAGAGAGAGAGAGAGAGAGAGAGAGAGAGAAGGCTGACAACAGAGAACTACAAGATGGGTGAATCAAAGATAGCTTCAGACCCCCTATCTGAGGGTCAGTGTGGTCAGTCAGAAAAAGACAAGGGAGATAAAGCGGAAACTTTGACTCTCCTCTTTGGGTGTAGAAATGTTGAAAGCCAATTTGTGAGTGAGTATATATCTATGCAATATGTGTTGCAAAAGGGTCTGGGTTAGTACAAAGGATGTTTAGTTGCATACAAGACTCTGTCTGTAAAAAGCATTAGCAAACTAACATCAATTAGCTTTGGGAAGCCTACTAACCAATAACCTAACTGAAAACAATCACAACAGTAGCTCAGTGAATAGCATTAAATCATAATCAACGAAGTTAAACAGTCGTGGTTAGAGTGTACAACTGTAATAATGCCATGCCCAGTTGCCACATTACCAATCCTTGAATGGAGGGAAGAGTTGCTCTGTGGTGTGCTGCTTTTGTTAGCCGGCTTTGGAAGGCTGGAAGAATTGTGGTTCCAGATGCAGTCTTTGCTGTGTCCTTGTTCCAAAGGTGCAGATCTGAGGAGACTGGTCACTCGTTGTTCTTGCAGAGTTGAATGTTGGGGTGCTAACTCAACTTTGTTCTCCTTGTCACTGGAAAGTTAGTTGCACACCTTGTGTTTGGCACACTAACTTGTCTAATCTTCAGGTTCTGTGTCTGCTGGGAGCAGGCCACATTGAGAGCAGAGCTGCAGCTCCTGCTGTGGGCATGCAGAGGTGAGAAAACAGGGGAAGGTGCCTCCTCCTGCCTTCATCCCACCTCGGTCAGAGGCTCAGGAGCAAGAAAGCTGAAGAGAGGAAACTTCTCCTCAAGTTTGGTTGGTAACATCACAGAGTGACATGTCACTGTGAAAGTACTGCCCAATCAAGTTTGAAGACAGGTCTCTCACTTAGGTGTGACAGTGATTTATCCTGAGAGAAATGGCTGTCCTTTGTTTGAAGAACAAAGAACATGCAATCTCAGCCACCATTCCAGATAGCAAGACCCTGAGGAAAAACCTTTACACGTCCAGTTTAGATCTTAAAAGGAAATTTCGGTTTATTTCAACCTGTGTCCTATCGTCCTAAATTTGTTTCAAGTGACTAGTGACATAAAAATAATAGTTAGCATGTTAGCCGTTAGCCTAGGTACAGCCAGGGCGCATAGTAGCGTCAGACCTGTTAAAATGTAAGTGAACGGGCAACCTTCAAGTGCAAAGTTAGTCCACTAAACAAACTTTTTTTTCCACAAAGACCGCCTCATATCGTTAGGATAAATGTCAGAGAACATATAGAAAACGACATGTAAACGTGTTGTCTTACCTTACCGGTGTGGTGCCATGTTTGTTTACCATTTAGCTCTGCTGTCCAAAGCGCGGCCGAAATATCGCGAGAACAAGCAGCGATCTCATACCGTGCCTGAAATCTCGCGAGCTCTAGATAAAGCCCAACTGGATACTACTCCAGGTGGAGGTGTCTCGTCCTCGGTCACATCCAGACCTTGAAAATAAGGCTGCAACCGGTCCCATTCCTTGCAACAGAGGCATTCCTCTTCTGTGGGCAATGGGGCACAGCATTCACAGGTACACCACCAATCTCCAGAGCTACGCAGCCTTGCAGCAGCCATTCCTCCTCTCTCGTCCTCTACCTGTTGCGCCTCACTCTCTCTCCTCCTCCGTTCTTCAGTTTCAAGAAGCTCTTCGTCAGTGTATTCTGGCTCAAATAAATAAGGGCGGCCATCAAACTCTGCAAAATCAAATTCCTCCTCCACAAAGTCGAAGTCTGGCAAAAAGTCAGCCATTATTCTATAAATCTTTCATAAAATAAATGAATGAACTTTTCAGGCTACTGTCCGGTTCTGCCTTCCAGCCGTTGCTGCTTGTTCTCACGAGGCCGCTGTGGCAAGGACACAGCCTTTGTATACGGGGCACCTGCTCTTTCAGGTGAGCTAGTGGGCACCCCACAGATAAGTTATTTTCATCCTTCATAGTTTTAGTCTAGTTTTAGTCAACATCTCTCTATGTATACTCTCAAAACCTTTGACACCACAAATGACTAATCTGAGACAACTAGGATTTGTGCAGGTTCATTGTAAACTCTGACTTGTCCATCTCACTGTTAAGAAGCACGAAAAAAAAAAAGGAAAACCTGATTTTTTTCTTAATCTGCAACATGTTAGTCTGGAGGTTTAAACTCATGTCCTCTCACAGAGTTGGTGATTAAAACTAAACTTTAATCTCTGTCATAAAAAACTGATCTGAGTTCAGACTGTTTACTTACAGCACAGCTACACTCACAGATAAGTGAGCCTCCTACCTGCTTGTGAAACAGCATCAACCCACAAACCATTTTGAGTCCGGACTGAATGGAGTCCTATGGAGATCAGCTGTGACATCAGACGGCTGGTGGCTGCTTGCTCTGATGCCGTTAAGCGGCTATCGAGCAGAGCTGCTAACACCCACGGCTGTCACTTACAAACTTCAAAAATCCATTTAACAGCTCCACCATCCACAGTCAAATACACACAGCTCACAACTCGCACCAACAGCTGACGCTGCAGTGTGAGTGTTTTTGCTGGCTAGGGAAACATACTGGTGCAGACTATTTACTGGAGTTTGCCAGCCTGTCGCTCATGCAACATTTGAAGATAACTGCAAGCAAGGCTGTTCTGAGCTTATAATGTCCCATAGTCCACCACTAACATTTTGTCACATCTTGTCAACGAAAATGAAATGTTGATTTTGTTTTAGTTTTTATTATCAAGATATATTTTTAGCTCGTCATTGCCTGTTTCGCCATAAGAAAAAGGTCTGATGAAAAATTT